GGAAAGGCCCCATTTGGCCTGGCTTGCCATCATCTTGATGGGAACCACTAAGGCAGAGCCTAGGAATCAGGCAGAGTCAGATGCTCTTACCTATTGGGAAACATTTTGGAGACAGATGCCCCAGGACTTAATGTGAAAGCAGAGGTCCTTGCTCCTTTCTGTATAAATTCCTGGATTCACATGGGGCTCGGGGACAAGCAGGGCTCTTCCTGCAGAATGTCCACTGTAGAGAAGGATGGGAAAGATCCAGGGAGTCTACACCCCAAGGGACCACATAAAGACAAAAGACCCCCTGTTTGGGATAATGATGTTAAAAGCCAGCGAAGTCCCAGGTGCCACCTCGTAGGCACGTTCAGAGAGATGATCACAGTGGAAATTCACCTTTCAGAGTCCTTATGAGGACGGTTATCAGACAGTAGAGCGGATTGCCCGAAACCTGTTACTAAGGGCAGGGATGGGATTTGAAACCAGAGAATGTCTTCTGCATTGCACTGGCAGCTCTAAACTGGGTGAAAGGCTCTGAGCATCATTTCTCCTTGTTTCATGCTCACTGAGAGGAAGGCACCTGGCAGGGCAACCTTAAATGTTAGCACACATGGACTTCACCTTATGGACTGACCGGAAACTCAACTTTGCCTCAAATGTCATTGCACCATAAACCCAGACTCCAGCAAGCAGTATTAGTCCTGGGACAAAGTCATAATAATGGTGAAATCTTGGGGCACCTGGGTGGCTCAGTCGGTTAAGCATCCGCCTTCAGCTCAGGTCATGATCTCACAGTTCATGAGTTCGAGCCCCGCTTGGGGCTCTGTGCTGACAGCTCGGAGCCTGGAGCCTGCTTCAGATTCTGTGTCTCCCTCTCACACTGTCCCTCCCCCGCTCATGCTGTCTCTCTCAAAAAAAAAAAAAAAATTGAAAAAGTTTTTAAAAAATGGTGGAATCTTATCTTTTCTTAACAGATTCTTGTAGTCCAGTTCCAACCTGTGTGTTTCTGGGTAACTCACCAGTACATTTCCAGTGACCTCTATATCCTGCTCTCTGAAGGAGGACTCAAGGCACCTACAGACTTTGTCACTTTGTACATCTCCCCCGTTTTCTCCTCTCACTCCTGGCTCCACCTGCTCTGATTGATGGGAAACCATATCGTCCCTCATAAACCCCTTTGGCAGCACTTGACCCCGCTCACCCACGCTCCTGGAATCTAATAGTGGACATGAACTGAGGGATCTTGACCCCACAGGTCTCCCGCACCTTGGCCCTTCTGTGTATCCCTGATGGATTCACTGGTGGGCCTTCCGGGCATGCTTTCTCTTGGAGCTCTTCCCACATAGGGCCTCTCATTAGAGTGAATGTGCCTGTGGCTGAGCAGGAGGGAGGAGGAGGGGAAGAAGATGCCACACTCTGAGCAGGAGAAAGGTTTCCCGAGTGTGCCTGTGCATCCATGAACGGCCAAGGGAGACTGTGGCAGAAACACCCCCTTATAGCCACAGTGCCAGAAGTCGTCTTTCCCGTGTGGATAAGCTGGTGCTGGAGCAAGTTTCTTCGGTGAGCAAAGTGAGTATCACACTATAGACCATCCTAACTCAAGTGCATAAGCAGGTGGCTGGCCAGGAGGCGGGCATGCAAAGTTGCACCCACAGTCTGCCCACGTGTCTGCCCTTATGGGCATCCAGGGCACTGCCAGAGTGGAAGTGGCAGGTGCAGTCGGGACGCAGATGTGCCCTATTTGGAGCAGCTGGTGCTAAACCAGGTGAGCCCTCTGGGAAACGGGGACACCACATGAGCCACACACACGGGGACAGTCACCAGGGTGGATCTGCCTGTGTCTAACAGTGAGGAGATGGCAAAGAGCTGCCCGCAGTCCAGACTCGCATAAAGCTTCTTCCTTCTGTTGGTGGCTGGGGCCCTACGTTTTCTTTCTTTTTTTTTTTTTTTTAATGTTTTATTTATTTTTAGGAGAGGGAGAGAGACACAGCGTGAGCAGGGGAGGGTCAGAGAGAGAGGGAGTCACAGACTGAAACAGGCTCCAGGCTCAGAGCTGGCAATCAGCACAGAACCCGAAGCGGGGCTCAAACCCACGAACCGCGAGATCATGACCTAAGCGAAAGTCGGACGCTTAACCGACTAAGCCACCCAGGCGCCCCATGGGGCCCTACGTTTTCAAAAGCAGCAGCCACAGTGGGGCTGGGGAAGGCTGTCTCACGTGTGGACGGGCTGATGGTGGGTCAGATCCTTGCACTGAGAGTAGCATCCACACTGTCACAGGGAAGGCTGCTCAGCCCAGTAGGCCTGCTGGTGTCTGGCCAGGAGGAAGAGGACAGCCAAGACTTGGGTAGGGTTTCTTTGGAGCCAGACAGCACTGTTGTCCTATAGTTCAGGAGCCCTGAGCTGATGTCTGGCCATGCCCCCGGCCTTAGGGCCCCGGTTACTTCAAAGGGCTCATGTCATGCGGCTTTATCGGGCAGCCTCTCTCACACAGGCTGCTTAAGCTTCTTCACCCCCGTTCCCCCCTTCTTTTCTTTACTCTTGCTCTCTGCAGAGACAAGAGAATTGGAACTAAAGGTTGTGGAGTGCTTTGAATCACCTCAGGTGGAGCAGGACTGGGGACTGAGTGCCTGTTCATTCAAGGCAGAAGGATCTAAGTGTGAATCCCCTCCCCCCAGCGATGCCCCACCTGCCTCAGGACATTTTCAGAAAAAGTACCATCCCTTCTCACTCCAGGCCTCTAGGATCAGAGAGGGTTCACACAAGGAAAGGCTGAATTTTTTTCAGAGGTAAGCCGACACCTATCCCTGGCGAAAGACCTTAAATACGGACATTTCTCCAAAAACAGACCTCACTGCCTTTTGAGCACACAAAAACACCTGTTTGCATCCTAAATGAAAGGTGGCAAGGCTTTAAATTCTATAGAGGGCTCTGGGCAGCTTCAAAAGGCAGGATATGCCCTGAGAAACAAGGGCAGGCCACGAAACCAAAGTGAACTTCTGATCTCTTTCCAAGGCCAGTCAAAAATACATCATGCATATTCTCTAGGCTTAAGTTAATTAAAATGAAAAATTCACTTCCTCAAGCACCCTAACCACATTTCAGGTGTTAAAAGACATGTGGCCAGAGGCTTCTGTGTTCCTCAGCAAAGATACAGAACATTGCGATGATTGAAGAAAGCCCTGTTGGAAACAACACTCTTAAGTATTCAGCATTAAGAAGGCGAAAGACCTTAATCCCCGACTGTGGCCTCGCCCCAATCCCCAACCTGAACCAGCGGGACCGGCTACCCTAGAACACAAGGAATCCTCCAGGTCTGGGAAGGAGAACTTTAGAAGAGAAGGTTTATCGGATTCTTATGAATTGGGGTCTTTAAAGAGAAGGGTGAGGTGTAGATGTGGCTGCCGGAAGAAAGGGCCTGCCCCAGCTCGCTCTCAGGAGAGGCTGACTTCCAGCCCAGCCCCCACTTTCCTTGCCTATCCTAGATCTAGGTGCCTTGCCCCCTCCTCCTTGGCGTCCGGGCTCCACGCCTCCTTCTTTCATCTCCAGGAGATGAGGGCGGGGTTGGGGCCTGCGGATCCTAGGGGAAAATAGGCTGACAGAGGACAGGGTGAGAGGACGAAGCCTAGAGAGTGATTCCTTTGCGGGGTTGGGTACAGCCTCCTGAACCCTACCGGAGAAGACCCTCCCCAACAACAGACACTCTGGCGCGTCCGGACCGAAGCGGACTAGTACCCCTTTTCGCTAAAAGGGGACAAGGGGAGGGCTGGGACTCTGCGATCGCGCCCAGGTAGGTAGTCCTGGATTTGCCGCATCACTTCCCTGAAGAGGGCACAGGGCACAGCGCCAGATCCTTAAATCTTTCGCCCTCAACAATGATGGCGCCACTGGGCTTCACGCCCTTCTCCCTCCCCTGCACAATCATTGGATGGCGCAAGACAGGAAGCAACGAGCCAGCGTTTTGATTGGGCCTTGGAGAATCACTCCGTTGGAGGGAAGCCGGCTGCAGCGTGCGAGCCGGCCTTCTTCCTGGAGCCGCCGCATGGCCGAAGCGCGCACTGGTTGAACACCTGCTCAGTGCCCGGCGTGTGCGAGCGGACGGCGGGCCCACAGCAGCGCTCCTCCTCCCCGGGCCACAGCGCCGTCTGCGTCGCTGTGGAACTTCCTGCCTCCTTTGCACCCAGATATATGAACAACGTTTAAAAGTGCATTGAACCCGTGTGTGTGTGTGTGTGTGTGTGTGTGTGTGTGTAAAACACAGCTCCAGGAGCTGGGTATAGAGCAGGGAGCTGAACAGAGTCTCCTAGGCCATGGAGGTTACATTGATCTCTGCAGGCTTCCAGATTCTCGAGTCTCCGCGGGGCTTGACCCACGATGTATAGTCCTTGAGCACCTGCAGCTCTTCCTGTCTGTGATTAAAAGTGGCATCTCCGAACATAATGCTAGGGACTGGCCAGAGGTGGCTCTGATGGTGCTTGCTCTCAGTGGTCCTTACAACCCCGTGAGAGAGACACATAATATGTAAGCAAAGGTAAGCAAAGCCACAGTGGTAGCACTAACACACCCCGGGGAATTATGAGACAGTCTCTCTCACCTCTGAGGTGAGCACAGAAGATAAGCACTGTGAATCCCTTAGCGGGGGGGAAAGGCAATAATAGTTTCTAACTTGCTGAAAAGAGCTATGAGGGGTGCCTGGGTGGCTCAGTCAGTTAAGCATTGAACTTTGGCCCTCTGTGCTGACAGCTCTGAGCCTGGAGCCTGCTTCAGATTCTGTGTCTTCCTCTCTCTACTCCTCCCCCACTAGAGCCCCGTCTCTCTCTGAAAAAATAAACATTAAAAAAAAAAAAAAAAGAGCTACGAAAATTACATTGGAAGAGTTGTTTTCACCAGGGATGATTAGCTATTAGATAATATTCAAACAACTCTACCTGCAAAGCTTGGGAGGATATACACACGTGTAAAGTATTGTACTAGACAGTTTTGACTGAATATGTGTTATTTAATCCTCACAACCACCTTGGGGGCCGGATTAATGTACTTATTTTATAGAGAGATGATGATGCAAGCGATGAGCCAAGATTGAACGTGGGATAAACTAGTTCAAACCCTATGATCCTCCTCTTATATTGTGGCTCCTGGTCCAAACTGAGATTTGATGGCCTGAGCTCTAGAATTAGGGGAAACTGGGAGCTGAAAGGTTGGAGGTCAGCAATTGGTGCTGAGAGCGGAGTGGAGGAGACTGGTGCTTTTTCTGGAAGGTTCTTCCCTCTCGATGTCCTCCCTCTCAGCTCCCAGGTCACTCACAGACTCTAGATGTGGCTCAGCCCCCATCATCTCCTTTTTGATGGATTCCATTTTCCTCCCCTCTCCTATCCCTCCTATGCCCTTCGTGCACCTCCTTCCCAACACTTGAGGGAGAATCTTAAAACATTCGCTCATTCCCATTGCTGAACTCAGACACTCGCGCTACTGGAACCCATCAGGAAAAGGTCGGAAGCGTACTGACGGTTCCTGACCCTCAGGGACAGAAGCTTGGGCTGGAGGTGGTAACAGAGGTCCGGCAGCCCTCCGACTTGTCCTGCACGTACGATGGATCCAATGGTGGGCTTCCAGGGCACTCTTTCGTTTAAAGGTTTTCCCACACTGGGAACAAAGGAAGGGCCTCTCAACAGAATGGATGCGCCTGTGACTGTTGAGGACACATGAAGAGGTAAACTGGTGCCCACACTCGGGGCAGGAGTAGGGCTTCTCCCCTGTATGTGTGCGCCTATGGATAGCCAGAGAGCCACTCTGCCGGAAGCAGCGGCCACAATCAGGGCACTCGTAGGGTTTTTCGCCTGTGTGAATGAGCTGATGCTGCAGCAGGTTATTTTGCTGGGCAAAGCGGGCACTGCAATGGGCACAGGGGTAGGGGCGCTCACCAGAGTGGACCCGCTGGTGATTGGTCAGGAGGGAGGGGTAGGCAAAGCCCCGACCACAGTCAGAACAGATATGGGGCTTCTTCCTAGTATGGGTGCGTTGGTGGATGGCCAAGAGGGAAGGATGTGTAAAGTGGCGGCCACACTCGGTACACACGTACGGCTTCTCCCCACCGTGTCTGTGTCTGTGGACGGCCAGGGCCCCTGTCTGGCGGAAGCAGCGGCCACAATCCGGGCATGAATAAGGCTTGTCCCCTGTATGAAGCAGCTGGTGCTGGACCAGGTGAGCCCTCTGGGAGAACTGAACCCCACAAGGCCCACAGACATATGGACGGTCTCCAGAGTGGATTCGCCGATGTCTGACCAGCATCGAGGGGTAGGCAAAGAGCCTCCCACAGTCCGGGCAGGAGAAGGGCTTCTCCCCTGTATGTACGCGCATATGGACAGACAGGTTGCCTCTTTGGCGGAAGCAACGTCCGCACTGGTCACAGGGAAAGGGCCGCTCCCCAGAGTGGACCCGCTGGTGGCTGGCGAGGAGGGAGGGGTAGCTGAAAGAACGGTTGCATTCCAGGCAGGGGTAGGGCCTCTTGGGAGTCTCGGTGCCCTGGGGTCCCGTGTCTGTGGAGACCTGAGGCACTGAACGGCTGCAGTCTCTCAAACCAGGACCCAGCCTGCCCTTCGTCGGTGGCCCGTTCTCCACAGGAGCGTCCTCAGACTCCTTGGCCCCTATGTTGCTGCTGTGTTCATTCTTCTTTTTCTTGCTTTCTAAAGAGACAAGAGAATCGAAACCAAAAATGTGAGTGCCTGCCTGCCCTATGTTTCTCTCACTATGGGGAGATGTAGGTGAAGGGAAGCGGCAGTTCGTTTCTCTGGTGTAGTCCCTGTTTCAGAGCCTCCGGGTTCATCCGAGGCAACAGCCCCCCATTCCAGGCCCCCCTCCCCATTTAGGGCTTGGAAAATTAGAGTTTTGTCAGAAGGTGAGGGACAGTACTGCCTGTCAGAAATAAGCAATCACCTGCCACATTAAAGCCCCTAAAGGTAGGTATTTCAGCAGGGAGATTTCTCAAGGCACTGGAACGGACCGCAGGTCCGTTGTGTATATAACAACAGCAGTCACAGGGGCTGCTGGGTGGCTCAGCTGGTTAAGCCTCCGACTCTTGATTTCCACTCATGTAGGTCATGATGTCGAGGTTCGTGGGTTTGAGCCCCACATCAGGCTCTGTGCTGGCAGTGCGGAGCCTGCTTGGAATTCTCTCTCTGCCCCTCTCCTGCTTGTGCCATCTCAAATGATAAACATTACACACACACACACACACACACACACACACACACACACAGAGCAGCCACCACCTGGGCTAAAATTACCAATTTCACTAAGTGAACTTCTGGACCCTTTCTGAGACATGCAGATACTCTGGGCACACAGAGAAAGGCTCAATAAGTTATACCCCCAACTTCTCTTCCCCCCTACCCAGCTATCCCTGACCTAAGGAAGGTACCAGGTCTGATAAAGGGAACTTTGGAAATGAAGGCTTAGAGGATTCTGACTGGGGTATGTAACGGAGGCTGTGTGTGGGAAGAAGGCTGCCAGGAGAAAGGCCCCGCCTGGGGCTCCTTCCCAAAAGAGGCTGACTTCCAGCTCAGCCCGCCTTTCCTCACCTATCCCAGATCCTGGGTGCCTCAGCACGTCCTCGGGATCTTCGGCCTCCGGGCTCCACGCTTCCTTCTTTCTCTCCATCCAGGAGATGAGGGCGGGTTTGGGGCCTGCGAGTCCTGCGGGGGGGCGGGGGAAGAGGATGAAAGGATGGGGCCTAGATAAGGCGGTGGACACAGCCTCCGAACCCTAGCGGACCCAACAACGGACACTTGGGCGCATCTGGACCCGAAGTCTAAAAATCCCCGTGTAACAAAAAGGGAGAGAAGGGGGCGGGGCGGGCCTCACCGAGCGCGCCCAGGTGGCCGTAGGTCTCCCGCATCACGTCCCGGTACAGGGCCCTCTGAGCTGGCCGCAGACACCCCCACTCCTCCGGGGAGAAGTACACGGCCACGTCCGCGAAGCTCAAGGCGCCCGGCTTCCCTCGCTCTGGGTGAATCCCCCCCTGCCCGCCAGCGAGGAGCGGAGTCCCAGGCGGCGCCATGGAACCAACGTTGTTTCTCCGTTCGCCAGCGGGCTCGGGGTTCTGGGCGCTGCGGGGCCAAACTTGGCCGGTCCTCGGGCTCAGGGCGCCGCGGAGGCGGCCCGAAGCGCACCAGGACCAGCCTCTTGTGGGACCAGTGCAAACCCCTAAGGTGTTATTCTTACGGGTCCTGCACGGACCTGGAGTCGAGCACCTTCTGCCACAGTGGAAGCGCGCAAGACGCGCACGCACCCCAAGCCGCACCCGGGCTGGAAACCTTCGCCCTTAAGGATCATGACGTCATTGGGCTTCACGCCCTTCTCCTTTCCCTGCACAGCAATTGGGTGGCGCGGGGCAGGAAGCAACGAGCCGGCGTTCTGATTGGACCTCGGAGAATCACTCCGTTGGGAGGGAAGCCGGCTGCAGCGTGCGAACTGGCAGTCTTGGAGTCACAGCGACTCCGCGGCGCGCACTGGTTGAGCCCTTGCTCGGTGCCAGGCCGCGCGTGCGAGCGGACGGCGGATCCACAGCAGCGCTCCTCCAACCCGGGCCCGCTGGGCCCCGGACCACACCGCTGCCTGCGTCGCTGTGGGGCTCCCTGCCTCCTTTGCACCGTGTGTGTGTGTGTGTCTGTGTGTGTGTGTGTGTGTGTGTGTGTGTGTGTGTGTGTGTGTGTGAGAGAGAGAGAGAGATAGCTCCAGATGGGGCTCCGGACCACACCGCTGCCTGCGTCGCTGTGGGGCTCCCTGCCTCCTTTGCACTGTGTGTGTGTGTGTGTGTGTGTGTGTGTAGGTGTGTGTGTCATAGCTCCAGATGGGGCTCCCTGCCTCCTTTGCACCCAGGTATGAACGACGTTCAAACGTGCATTGCGTGCGTTGAGCCCTCGTGAGTGTGTGTGTGTGTGTGTGTGTGTGTGTAACACAGCTCCAGGAGCTGGGTACAGAGCAGGGAGCTAACGAAAGCCTCTCCCATGGAGGTTACATGGCTTTCTACAGGCTTCCAGATTCTCGAGTCTCCGCCGGGCTTGACCCACGATGTAGTCCTTGAGCACCTGCAGCTTTCCCTGTCTGATGTGATTACACGTGACATCTCCAAACAATGCTGGGAACTGGAAAGAGGTGGCTCTGAGGGTGCTTGCTCTCAGTGGTGCTTACAACCCTGTGAGGTAGACACATAAATACACAAAGGGCTGGGTGCCTCAAGGGCTGGAAAAGCCCAAGTTAGTAGAGACATCACAATACCGTGCAGACTTCATTCCCAGCTTAGCATGTCTTCTTTATGCATTTGAGGGCAGGGCAGTAGGCTTCTTGCATATTTCACCTCAGGTGACACCCATTTTCCAACATATTTGCCTGTGAATGTTTACATGGGATTAACTATGAGAAAGCCACAGTGGTAGCCTTGACACACTCTGGGTCATCATAGGACAGTCTCTCACCTGAGTCGAATACAGAAAAAAAAGTATTGTGAATCAATTAGGAAGAAGAAAGAAAGAAAAAAGGCAAATGGCTCCTAATAGACTAAAACCCAGAAAAAGAACTAGAGAAATTGCATTAATAGCAGTTGTTTAAAACAGGTATGATTAGGGGCGCCTGGGTGGCTCAGTCGGTTAAGCATCCGACTCCAGCTCAGGTCATGATCTCACCTTTCATGGGTTCGAGCCCTGCATGGGGCTCTGTGCCAACGGCTAGCTCAGAGCCTGAAACCTGTCTTTGGATTCTGTGTCTCCCTCTCTCTCTGACCCTCCCCTGCTCATGCTGTCTCTATCTCTCTCTCAAAAATAAATAGAACATTAAAAGAAAATTTTTTTTAAGGCATGAGAAAACTGTTCAATATTCAAAAAACTGTGCTGTTCTCAAACCCATTAGGATGCCTACTATGAAAAGGAAAGAAACAGATAAAAAGAAAAAAGAACAAGGGCTGGTGAAGATGTGGAGTAATTGGGATCCTGTACACTATCAGTGGAAATGCAAAATGGTGCAGCCACTATAGAAAACTGTATGGTGGGTTTAAAAAAATTAAAAATAGAATTACTTTATATATCCAATTCCAGTTTGCGTATATACCCTAAGAATTCAAAGCATGGCCTTGAAGAGATATTTGTATACACATGCTTATAGTAGTATTATTCACAATAGTTAAGAGATGCAAGTAACCCAAGTGTCTGTTGACTGATGAATGGATAAGCAAAATATGGTGGATACATGGAATGGAATATATTATTCATCTTAAAAAGAAAGGAAATTCTACACATGCTACAACTTGTATTAAACTTGAGGACATGATAGGGGCACCTGGGTGGCTCAGTCAGTTAAGCATCTGACTTGAGCTCAGGTCATGATTTCATGGTTCGTGGGTGCAAGCCCTGCATTGGGTTCTGTGCTGGCAGCTCAGAGTCTGGAGTCTCAGAAACAGAGTCTGTTTCAGATTCTGTGTCTCCCTCTCCCTCTGCCCCTCCCTCGCTCATGCTCTGTCTCTGTCTCAAAAATAAATAAACTATAAAAAATTAAATAATAAAAAAACTTGAGGACATTATATTAAATGAAATAAGCCAGTCACAAAAAGATAAATATTGTATGATTCCATTTATATGAGGTATCTAAAGCAGTCAAAGTCATAGAAGCAGAGGTGGAATTGTGGTTGAGTGATGGCCATGGGCTGAGGAGAGAGGGATAATGAGAGTCGTTTAATGAGTATAGAGTTTCAGTTTTGCAAGATGATGAAGGTCTGGAGATTGGTTGCCCAACAATGCGAGTGTACACTTAAAAAATGGTTAAGATGGTAAATTTTATACAGTGTGTATTTTACCACAAGTAAAAACAAAAGTACTTAACCAAATACACTATCAGACCAAATCCAGCAACACATAAAACATTATATACAATGATTGGACAGGATGAGTTCAGGGATGTAAAGTTGGTTTAATATCTGAAAATCAATTAATATAATATATCATATATCAATAAAATAAAGACAAAAACTACATGATCATCTTAACAAGTGCAAAAAGCACTTGATAAAATCCAACACCTCTTCGTGATAAAAACACTCAAATCTAAAAATAAAAGGGAATGTCCTCAACCTGTTGGAAGACTGAATGCTTTTCTCATAGGATCAGGAACGAGACAAGGAAGTCCACGATTGCCACTTCTATTCTACTCACCATTATTATTCTCATCACTTCTATTTGATTACATTGTACTGTTCTAGCCAGAACAATTAGGCAAGAAAATGAAATAAAACATCGAGGTTAGAAAGATGTAAAACTACTGCTATCTGTAGATGACATGATATACAAACTTGTGAGGAATTCATTTATTTTTTTTTAATTTTTTTTTTTTTTATTTATTTCTAGGAGAGAGAGAGAGAGACAGTGTGAGCAGGGGAGGGTCAGAGAGAGAGGGAGTCACAGACTGAAACAGGCTCCAGGCTCTGAGCTGGCAGTCAGCACAGAGCCCGACGCGGGGCTCAAACCCACGAATCGTGAGATCACGACCTAAGCGAAAGTCGGACGCTTAACCGACTAAGCCACCCAGGCGCCCCGTGAGGAATTCATTTAAAAAGCATTTAGTACTGGGGCAACTGGCTGGCTCAGTTGGTAGAACATACGATTTTTGATCTTGGCGTCACGAGTTCAAATTCTACATTGGGTGTAGAGCATACTTTGACAAAGGAAAAAAAAAGCCATTAGTGCAGCCATTTTGTAAGATTATCAATTTCTATGGGGTGCCTGGGTGGCTCAGTCAGTTAAGCATCCAACTCGGATCTCAGCTCAGGTCTCTGTTTCAGGGTTGTGAGTTTGGGCCCAGCGTTGAATGAATGAATGAATGAGTGAATGAATGAATGAATGAATGAATATTGTCAATATCTTACAAAACTAAACATACACTAACCATATGATCCAGCAGTTATGCTCCTTGGTATTTACCTAAATAAGTTGATAAATCATGTCCACACAAAAACCTGCACACAGATGCTTACAGCAACTTTCATAGTTGCCAAAGCTTGGAAGCAACCAAGATGTCTTTTAGTAGGTGAATGGCTAAATGACCTGTGGTACATTTATACAGTGAAATATTAGCACTAAAGAGACATGGGCTATTAAGCCATGAAAAGACATGTAGTTACCTTAAATGCGTATTACTAAGAGAAAGAAGGCAATCTGGAAAAGCTATATACTGTATGAGTTCGACTATATTACATTCTGGAAAAGGCAAAACCATGGAGACAATAAAAAGATCAGTGGTTGCCAGGGTTTGGGGAGAAGGAACAAATAGGTGGATTGTTAGGGTAATGATTCTGTAATAATGGTGGATACATAGCATTATGCATCTGCCAAAACCCATAGAATGTAGAAAAACCAAAAGTGAATCCTAATATAAACTATGGACTTTGAGGGTTTTTTTTTTTTTTTTTTTATGTTTTATTTACTTCCGAGAGACAGCATGAGCAGGGGAAGGTCAGAGAGAGAGGGAGACACAGAATCTGAAGCAGGCTCCAGGCTCTGAGCTGGCTGTCAGCACAGAGCCCGACACGGGGCTCGAACCCACGAACTGTGAGATCATGACCTGAGCTGAAGTTGGACGCTCAACCGACTGAGCCACTCAGGCATCCCAAACTATGGACTTTGGATGCTAATGATATATCAATGTAGATTCATGGATTATAACAAATGTACCAATCTGGTATGGGATGCTGATAGTAAGGAGGCTGGGATAGAGGGTAAAGAGATATGGGAGCTCTCTGTACTGTCAGCTTAACCCTAAATTACTCTAAAAAACAAAATCTATTAAAAATGTTTTTAAACTGGGGCACTTGGGTGGCTCAGTCAGTTAATTGTCTAACTCTTCATTTCCACTAAGGTTATAAACTCACAGTTTGTGAGTCTGAGCTCCAAGTAGGGTTCTGTGCTGACAGTGTAGAGCCTGCTTGGGATTCTCTCTCTCTTCCTCTCTCTCTGCCCCTCCCCTGCTCACACTCTCCCTCTGTCTCTCTCTTAAAATAAATAAATAGGGGCGCCTGGGTGGCTTAGTCGGTTAAGCTTCCGACTTTCGCTTAGGTCGTGATCTCACGATTCGTGGGTTTGAGCCCCGCGTCGGGCTCTGTGCTGACTGCCAGCTCAGAGCCTGGAGCCTGTTTCAGTCTGTGACTCCCTCTCTCTCTGACCCTCCCCTGCTCACACTGTCTCTCTCTCTCTAT